CCCCCCCCCCAACAAAACACACACACACACACACACACACACACACACACACAACAACAACAACAACCAAACCCCACTTCAAAAAAAAAAAAGCAGAAAGAAAAGAAAAATATTATACAATGATACAATCTCAATGATGCAGACCTAGAGGAAGCCCTAGCCTATGTGGACCAGTTCGACCCTATAAGGGTCAAACACGGTGCAACTTCAAACTTCTGAATTCTGATCTGATTGCATTCCTAACAAGACTGCATCACTCAAGCTCTTAATAATAGCTGTAAGCATCCCGCTACTGACACTTGAAAAAACAGCTTTTTCAGCTTTGGCAAGCATCTGGAATAAACTAGAATCGTACAAAAATGAAAAGGAATAAACAATGTACTTGTCCCTTTTTTTGTTGATTTAATTTTTTTCCCTTTCCTAACTTGTCCATATGTAAGTTTCATCACCTTTCACCCCTCTGCACATGACATGCTTTTTACCTTGAATTTAGTACGGGTAAGATAATTTTTCCTAAATTGTTAATTAGATTATTTTCCCTCCTTTGAAGCCAAGTAAGACCTCCCTCATTTACTCCTTTGTCCCTTATTACATACTCTGCAAACAGGACTACAATACCATAAAGTTCAGAAAACCTCGCATAAGCTACTTTCCCACCGTTCAGATAAATTAATGATGAAGACACTGAATATTATTTTATAAATAAAAATTTAGAATCATATAGCTGCATGAATTTTAATTTTAAAGAAATAAATTCATTATATGAAAAGGAGATCTGCTATAATTTAATAAATTAAAAATCAATTAAAATATTTATCAGAAAATTTTTTCATATGAATTGACAAAAAGGTAATTGATCAGTTTATAAATAAAAAAGTTTTTAACATAAACTAACGATCATAAGAAAAAAAATTTAAAAGTAGCCTCTCATCCATCCATGTAAAACACTGAACAGAAAAAGTTAATGGAAGTTTTATCAAGAAAATTTTTAACCCTTCATAGAGAAACTGAGAAAGAATTTTAATAGTTTTACGAAAAAATTGATAAAATGTTTATTTATCAAAGAATATCAGAAAAAATAATAATATAGATTTATAAATAAAAAAGAACCAATTAGTTATAGCCAGAAAATAAAAACAATAATAATTTTAGATTCATCCAGAAAGTTAAAATAAGGGGGATAGCACTACAAATCGGAAAATATTAACAAAAGAAAAATGTCAATATAATTTTTTTTACTCATCCATAGATATCACAGCACCTGGAAAGTTTATAAATAGAGAAATTCAAAAGTAAACAATTGTCTAAAGAAAAAAGTTAGAAGAACTTAATATTCTTTTAGATTAAAAAAGAGTTTGGTGTTATATATCAAAGAACAAACAGAGAAATTATTGGCCAAAAAAATTTTAAAAATTAAGTTTTCTATTCATTTACATTATTTACAAGAAAGGACATTGAGTAGGTTTATAAATCAAACAAATTTACCACTCAATAACTAGCAATCACAAAGGTTTAAAAAAAATTCATTTAGAACATTGAGAAATGAGGTCATGGGTATTTTCCCAAAAAACAAATTACTGTACTATTTTTTATTTTAAAAAAAGTTTAATGGCCTTAAAAGAAGCAAAAATCACAACTATGAATTTGGGATAAGTCATCTTAAAGCATGTGGTATTCATGATAAATGGTTTAAAAGATCTGAGAATAAGTATAAGCTGATGAAATCTATAAAGCATAGGCAAAACATAAAGACAACTAAGAAGAGGGGAACCAGGCCCTACATCTGCCAGCAAATCAGCAATATCGTAAAGTACCTGAAATTGCTAATAGATTTCCAATGAGCTGTAACACAAATGGTATATGATGACGGATCACACAAGAAAAATCAAAAAAGAAATCCAACCATGTAAATAGTTGAAAAGCAATAACCATAACAGGGAAACCATGGTGCAAAATCGACTGGGTTTGCAACTGGACTAAATGTCAAAAATAACTAAGGTCTTGGAAATACCAGAGGTATCTAAGTTCATGCATGCACCAACAAGCACTACGCTAGGCTCATTACTGCAAAAGAATGACGAGCTGAAGGCAGAGTCACAAATTCAACAAAAGATCAAATTAACAATCATATTGACAAGTCCATGAATATAAACAATAGCCAAGAAATTTTTCACAAAAATGGCTGAATTACACTTGAGTTTCCAATATCTGAATGATAATTTTGAAAGAAAAGTGTCTAATCATTTAAAATTCCAACTGGAGCACATGTACGTATAAAAGTAACTGCCTGTGCAGCAGGAAGGCACAAAAGCATACATATGCTTGCACACACACAGATATGAAAGTATGCACACGAGAAAGCTAGGCGTATAAACAGTGATAAATACAAATTAAATATAATCTAAGTAAACATACTTTTCTTTAAGAGGTTGCATAAAATATATTGCATCCATGGCAGGCATGGGCTGCCTTCGTTTGTGAAGGTCTTCCACCACTGAAAAACAAATAGAAACCGTAAGTATATAGTTTTGGATGGACGTACAAAATAAACTAACAGAAAAAATGCAAATAAAAAGTCATAAATCATGAGAAGATCAACAAGATGCTTAGTGTAAAACAAGAGGTTGCATGAACACTAGTGCACGAGACTAATGTTTCTACTCTCTCAAACTAGAAGCTGGAGAAACAGGGGAACTATGTAACAAGAGCATGCACCGTAGATAAATAATTAAAGCATAGGCCAAGCAAAAGTATAAAAGTAACTTTTGCCTTCAAGAGCCAAAAAAAAACTGCAGCTTACTAATATAGCTTGTTAACAAAAAAATCGATGCTCCCACCATGAGAAGAGATTGGCTTTGGCTAGTGTATCAAAAAAATAGAGAAGAGGCAGAATATGGGATAAGTTCCCCTTTCAACTTACATGACACTCCTTCCACCGTAACATCTGCCATTTTGCAAGAATTTGACATGATTTTGACAGTTAATTTGTCCATGATGAGTACCTGAGAGAATTCAACAATGATTGCTCACTTGTCGAAATAATTAAAAAGGTAAAGACAAGGAAAGAAAATGGCGAATGGAAATTCACAGTAAAATTTTGTTTTATACTTGGGACACCACTTGACTATAGCTAGCAAATGGCCCTATGCCACGCCCAAAAAACAATTATGAACTGACATCACAGAAATCTAGAGAAAGAATATTGCAAATATTAATTTATACATATTTACTTTGCAAGTTTGCAGTGGTGCAACTGAATCAAATCCAAGCACATAACAGGAAATATATTTCCAAAGTTATTAACTTTCTTCAATGAAGGATGACTGTTGCACTTTGTGGATCTCGTGCATATATCCTTTGGGTGATCAAAATAACTGTTCAGCACGTCAAAACAAGAGCTTCTAAAAGATTAAAAAATAAGCAGAAACTTGTCCTCCACTTGTAACCCACTCCTACCCCTAACAGATATACAAAGGGTTAATTCCAACACATAGCAGAAAAAGTATTTCATTCATTCAATGATTCAAATGCAATATCCCACCTAATACATGATATATTTCAGCAGTTACATACAAGTGTTACTTCTTTACACAAGCCCCGATGTTTAGTCTATAGTTAACGGTATCCGAGAAAACTGTATCATCTTGCCATGCGCAATCTGACTATCCTACTGATGAGGTCGAATCCCTGAGGTTTCAACTACTTAGGGAAAACATTTAGATCCTACGATTTTATTCTAGGATTAGTTTCAGAAGTGGAACGACCAAGGAACTAGCTAAGGTTCAGTAGCAACAGTATTTTCCTTGCACAAAGGTCTCAGTTTCCAACTGATATTGAAGTGAGAATTTAAAAGAATGCAGTACAATACAAGTATCCTTGCTGCAGACTCAATTAGCATGTGTATGTATGTTGCAAACATGTTACTACATGCTTCTCAAATATAACCCTCAGCTTCATACATTCATGCAAAATTTATATATTTAACAATATATGCAAACTCCCAATCAGAATATTTCCATCAAAATTGAAACAAATAATTATTTCAAGAAAGATCAGTTTTGTACCTTTGAAAATATAGACGGCTTTGTTCAATGTACACATACATACACTCACAGACACAGAGACAAATGGAATAATACTTTAGTATTATACATGCATAATTATTTACCAATAGCTAAATATAATTTCTTATTAAATTTAGTCATTCAGAAAGACAAATATTATAATAAGAGACAAATAGGTCCATATTTGAATAGAATTTTGTTTTTCAATGAGACGTGTACATAGAAATATGAAATATCGTCTTCACATCTCTTTATTTCTCCAATAAACAACTGCTTTTATGAGATCTCTACATGTGAAAACCAATTAAACAATCTAATAACATAACTAATTGCCAACTCCTTTTATGTTTTCTAAAAGAAATTTAGGGAGTTGTGAAGTACACTGCATTTCCCACAAAACCTACTGTTCTTGTAGCTCCATTAATTTTGTTAGCTTGGAAACTAACTACACATATTGAATAAACTTATATTGATTGCTAGAATTTGTAGATGGCTAGCAACTACAAATGTTTGAAACAAATCATTGTATTAGCAACTACCTGGATTCCTTCACCTTGGTAGCCATACCTCAAAAAGAAGTATAACAGTTTTAATTCTTTTTTGTGTTTTTTTTTTATATTATTCCTTAAATCACAAGTGTTTTCATGTTAGTCCCCTAAATCTTCATATTTTGACATGAGTCCCGCAAATCACTTTAATATGCTGATCGTGTTAAAATGACTCTAGCTAGATCGTGTTAAAATGGGTGAGGAACATTCCATTTTCTTTAACTTTTTTCTCGAATGAACGTTTGTACCCCTCAGTTCACATACTCAAACCCACAACCCCATAAACTTAAGCCCGTTAACCCCACACCCAAATCCATTTATTCAAAACCCAAACTCATTTCACTTTCTTCATCCCCTTAATGATACATTCTCAGTAAATCCATAAAAATCAATGGCTCTTTCCATTGGAGGAGTCTATAAAAGGGCATTGATACTCCTCCAAATTCCATTTCACCTTCTCTGACCGAAATGCCAAGCCATATTGATCTAACAAGTTGCTGATGTAGTTTTCTGCTTCAACACAAAAAGAAAACAATAGAAAAGAGGAGAATAAAGATAGCCAACAAGGAGAGAAAAAGGAACAGAATAATATTTGGCTTCTTAAGCTCAGCAAATTCATTCAACTGCTAATGAACCTCCATATCCTCAGTCACCACGTTCTCTCTTCTTTCTTGTGATCCAATAGGGACCAACACATGCGATTCTCTCTCCGAACTGTAACTAAAATAAAGAGAGGAGAGAGAAAGAAGAAGAAGAGAGAGGAGAGAAGAGACAATTATTGTTGGAGTGAGAATGGATCAAGTCATTGCGCTTCATTTTCTCCCTTCTTTTTCAAGTCCTGCATCAAGTAAATTTTTTCCTTTTTTCACACAGGGAATGATGCCCGGATGGGGGAATTAAATTGCATAGTTAGTTCAAACCTAACCGTAGTCAAGGGTTTTGAATGGTAATACTAACAGAAGGACTAATATCAGCATATTAAGGTAATTTGGGTGATTGATATCAAAATATGAAGAATTAGGGGACTAATATCAAAATATTATTGATTTAAGGGACTAATGTCGAAGAAAGCCATCTTTTTTCAGAATTATCTTGAATAGAAAAAGTAATTAAAACAATTAAATTGTCACGAAATCTAAAGCGTGCTAATAGATATGACATTCAACTCACTCATATCATGAGTAACGGCTTAAATAATGCCCAAATGAATTCTTTTTGTACAGTTAAAGACTCATCCTGATCGTGAAAATTGAAGTGCCACAAAATTTTTAAAGTTATAATTTAAATCTTTTTTCTCTAGATTTACGTTTACTTAAAATGTCCTGCTTTTTCAGCTACTGTAGCATCTCATATGTGCGCGCAGGGAGCGTATGCGCTCATAGTGCCCCCACTTTGACCGAGTGGGTTTCATTGAAATGTCTTCATAAGGGTCTGATGAACACAATAGAAGCGTCAAGGCCAAGAAAAGTTTGGACAGGGATATGGGGAAAACATCATGCTGATGTGACACTAAAGATGTGCTCTCCGACTGAGATATTTGGAGATGTGCTCGATTTGAGCAACAGCTCCAATTGTAAGATTTTAAGATAATTTTTTATCTCCAATCAACAAGATGATTATATCTGTAATCACACTTGGGGATCCAAATACTTAACACCACTACATGATCTTCGATTTTGGGGCAGTTAGAGCAGCATAAGTTTCCAACTACAATAGCAAGATAGTCTCTCACAAATTTTCGAAGAACTTAATCAATAAAAATAGCTCATAATTTTCCCAACCTTCAGCATAAACATATAAATGTGATTGACATATCATATCCATCACTTGACCAACCAGTGTTATAAATGTGCATTTTTGAAGGTGAGGTTTTAAATGTCGACCGACATGCATGTCGGTTTGAGGGCTTGAACGACACGACATGAGCGTTTTTAATTCGTATCGGTTTTTAGGGCCCAATCAAAAATATTGGGGTTATATCGACCTATTTTTCAGCTTTGAAAAATCGCCCGACAATGTTATCGATAGCGGATAGCATCGCGTAGCGGTGAGGCATCGCTAAGCTATTTGAGGCTATTGCGTTAAAATAGCGATAAAAAGCGTAAAATCAAATAGCGGTCTAATTTAGATGTGTAAATACTAAAAAGATTAAAGAAAAATCTAGAAAAACTAAAAAGTATATTTGATGATTTAAAGAGATCCTAAACATAAAATAGACATGTAATCGTCACATAATACCAAAGACGACTGGGGGAGAAGTCAAAAAGTCATCGTCTTCGAGAAGATGAGTTGAGCAGTGAGAGGACTACCTTAGGAGAAGCTCATAGTGAAGGAGGTGAGAGGAAGTGCTGAGTTAGGTACAAGAGGCTATGAGAGGCGGCGGGAGCACGCTGAAAATCACGGGAGGCAATCGAATGCAGTGATTAAAGGTCGGGTTTAATTTTAAAAAATAAACTCCAAACCGCTTTTAAATAGCAATCAAAAAGCGGATTTTACAAGCAATCTCCCGTTATTTACCGTTAGGACGCGCTAGCAATTGGGCGATAGCGTAGCGGGAAGGGATCGCTAACGCTATTAGCGCTGCTATTACGGGGCTATTTACCACTATTTATAACAATGTAGGCCGATATGGATCTTTTTTTAGATCTGCTTTTTGTTATTGGGTTTGGGTTTAGTGATAAAAATCCAAACTCATTTGACTCGTTCTCATGTTTAATGGTTTCTTATGAACTTAATAGAAAGAAAAGAGAAAGATTAGGGATCAACAGACTTGAGAACCCATCACTCTTTTTGTAAACGACAACGCATTTCCCCCACCTCCATCTCAGCCCCCCGTTGTCCATCTCCCGTTACGCCCCGAAATCTGAACCCCAACCGAACCCGAGGACGGCAGGATATCCCGTCGTCGGGATAAAAGGAAGAGGGTGGTCGGTGACTCATCCGAATGATCCCGAGCAGACGAAGAAGAAGAAGAACCCCAACACTGCTTCCCTGCGACGTCCATTCGCCGTCACTGCCTCCCTGCGACGTCGAAATCCACCCATCACCGACGCCGCCTCTAAATTTTATAAAGTATGCTTATATTGAATTCAGGAACGCTTGGATTACATTTATGACATGATATTATACATATGCGTACCACCCGATATGTCAATCCGATATTTAATCCATGTCCCCTGATATATCCCTGATTTCCGCTATCCGACATGGATTTCAGCCGTTCGATATGAACTCAACATCCGACATTTAAAACCTTGAAAAATAGCGTGTCAAGTAGTATTAGATACCATCTTCCTGGATGCAGTGTCATTGTGGGATACTAGCTCCCTCGATTTTAAGAAACATTTATTACATCGTATTACAAGTTTTAAATTTCTTAATGTTATCTACTAAATATTTTTGTGAGCTCACTCATTAATGTTTCCCAATACTAAAGATACCTTTGAACATTTAGGAGTGTATTAGCTTATGCTGCAAAAACACTTGATGGAAACTGTCGAGAGCAAATTGCATGTCTAAACTTACAAAATATATTATTTCAATTTAAAAATACGACTAGTTGGTTTTGTATTCCTTTGTCCTTGGTAGATCTCTGGACTTTCTATGAATGATCTTTTTGAGGAACAAATTATCTACGTTTATACAAGAGATATAGAAGTGGAGTAGATCAGTCTGACTAGTTTACACTTCAATTTTATTTTATAGTATCGGATGCAAGAGAATACAACTTTTCTTGTAAAATTGGGTTTGAAGGAATATATTCTCCATCTTCTGGCAGTTAAGAGGCAAATGTTATCATATTCACCCCAAGTCCCCTTGCTTGTGAATTCTGAAACAAGATCTGACTATGCTAAATATCTTGGATAGCACAATTTTTGGAACAAAAAATGTGTTGGTTAATTGGTAAAGAACGATTTGGTTCACTTATAAGCTCAACGTGAGGGTGCTGCGCTACAGAATCTTGGCCCTTGTAGTGGAGTGGTGCTGCGAGATAGAGAAGGGAATGTGATGGCAATAAGAGCAGATAATTTTGGTAATGATTCGAAATTTTGGGTTGAGTTAAAGACTCTAAATGAGAGTTAAGAGTTCTGTTCACACATAAGTATTTCTCAAGTTGAAATTAAACTGTATTTCCTTGTTTTGGTTAATCTGATTATGAGATCCTCTCCTCTTAATGGCAGTATTGTGCCCTATGGCAGCAGGTCATGAATTTATTATTCGCTGAGTCTTCTTTCATCCATCACATTTATAGAAATGCTAATATTGTAGCAGAAACATTGGTCGAAAATGGAGCTAGAAATTGCAACCTTGGAATTTTCAATTCAGAGTTGAATTTTCCTCAAAAAATTAGGCTTGCCCCCGACGATGATTGATTGGATCTCCCTCAAGTTAGAAAGAAAGATGTTTCTCAATATACTAGTTAGCGTGTGTAAGCTTTGGTATTAGGTGTTTCAGCAATATGTCCTCCCCTTTATCTTTTTGAGGATATTTTCCTCATCATGAAAAATAATCACGTCTACCCAGGGACCCGCGTGATGTCTCGGGTAAAAAAAAGTGTATATCCTCAAATATCAGAGAAAATTTCAGACCCTCGCAACTGCAGCAGAGGAAAGTTTGACATAAGTGGTAGGTAAAAAGGACAGTATCATATTACACATGCTATTTGAAGTTTATGCAGCCTATGAAAAACCACTCAAATTTCCCCAAAGCTATTCAAGTGTCTAGATGGTGAACATTTATTCACTATTTGACATATAAATTAGAGGGAGTAAACAAAATTGACTCTCTGAGCTCCTACAGTATATAACAGTTGCCTAGGGGCAGTCCAAGGCATAGATAATAAGATAAAATTGTGACACTCCTCCACTCTATATAAATTGTATACATGTGAAATGAACCAAGTACATCAAAGAACAGTGTAACGAGGATGTCAAAGGAAAAGAAAAGGGTTATAGTTAATATTACCTTCCATGTTACCTTCGACTCCTTTACTTTGGTTGATCGAAGCATTTCATACAATAACCCTGGAATTTAAATGATAAACAAGAATTAAAGAGAGCAAAAAAATAAGAGACCAAAGAGCAAGAATGGTTTCTACGAGTCGAACATAGCAAACATGTTAATAAAGTAAGAAATCCCTTACGGTTCAAATTGTTAGGGAAGAATTTGAATACAGGGTACAAAATGAACCCTCATCAGCCATCCTCTCCCACACCTTCCTTCCTCAATAAGAAGATGCAAGCTAATCTTCCCAGAGAAATGTTTTTATCACATATATGTTTATTTACAATCTAGTCTGTAGAGGATGGAACTCAAAGCAAGAATGAAATTTTATGATAAGCTACGAAATGTTTCCCAAGTTGCAAACATTCTTACTTGGTAACCTTTCCTATCCCATCAAATAAGCAGATTATGCATGATAATATAGAGAAAATGCTCAGTCTGATGCGGTTATGTGAATCCAGCGGTTATGTGAATCCAGGTTTCAGTCCATATAATGATAGTAAACTTGCGGGGTCATGTTAAAGTATAAAATTATAGGTGTCAATCATCATCACTTCAGAGTTTTGCTGTAGTGACATGATCATTTATTCATTTGACAATTATCCTAGTCTTTCGTGCTCCCTCTCTGTTCCATCCAGCCCCGTAATCCATTTTGTAATAATAATGTGATTTTTATTTATTCAATTCACAAAATGTGAATCTATTATTTACCTAAAATTTTATCTACTTTTCATGTAAACTTTCTACATTTATATAATGTGTCCATTTTTCATACTAATATAGCCAACTTTCACATATTTCTATCTGCTTTTCACATATGTTTCTGCCTAATCTTGGATATTGTTAATAGTCCAACTCAACTCTTATGCGTTTGCAAACACACACACCTTCTATATGTTTCTACTATTATCTCTAGCTTTAAATAAGTTATTAACTTTTCATATGAATACATTACATGATTGTACTTTTAAATGATTGCATCTATGTTTCATATATTTCTACCTACCTATAAAAAAAATGAAAATAGACAAAAAAAGAACGTGTAAAAACGTAAAAATAGAGAGATCGAGAGCGTGGAGAAGGGCTTGTGTGTTGAGTACAATGAGGGGGCAATAGTGAGGGAAGGGAGGCAGTTGACTGGAAGAGATAGTAGAGAGAGGAGGGGTGGTCAAAATGTAATTAAAAAAACTTTAGGGTTCATGTCCAAGAGATTTGAGAATCTAGCGGTTTTTCACTTTTGACAAGACAACACGAGGACAATACACGGTCGAAAATGTACAAATGTGTGTAACTGTGCAAGTATTTTTCCCTAACATTCACCAAAATGTCACAAGTCTATCTACAAACCACGAAAAGATGATTCTCTCAAGCACAACTGAAGACTGACAAGCATAACTGACAGATGGTAATAGCACAAAAAGAAGCAGCTTTTAGGAATCGGCACAAAGCATTATAAAGTGTTTGAAGCATAATGAAGTATTGTGAAGACATTTCATCAATGGGTTTGCATCCCCACCAAAAAAAACCCTTCTTTTCTAAGGTAAACTTAAACCTAGCTAAGTTGTAATAACAAAACAATCTGTCTCTCTTTTTTGAATAGTCATGTCATCTCTTGAGTTTTACAAATCCGTAACTTTGTGGTAACCATGTGCTATTTTAATGATTTTGCAGTTCTCGACAGTTTTAGGGAACTGAAGGTGGTTCTAGTGACATAATCACTTAAAGCCGCGATATGCAAATAGTTTTTTAGTTAATTATTTCTTTTCGTTTCCTAATTAATTACCCCCTCCCCCAAAAAATTGCATTTTCTTTCTCGCTATCTCTTTGAAACTTTGTCAGTTAAGCACTTAACAGGAGAGATTTTGTAGATAGCAAAGTCAATACTTTTTCTTTATTTGAACGAAAGAACAAAGTGCTGTAAGAACTTCGATATTGACATAAAAAAAACATTATCGTCAATGTGTTAACACTATAGTTCTCTTTTGTATTATTTCTGGATTTTATTTCTTTCTTATGCCTTTAAAGCTTATTCTATCTTTTGTTTTATTGAATAAATATAACTTTTGAAGCTGAAGTTGGGTGATGTTTAACTCTTAGGACTATTTTTATACCTAGGATATAAGTTAAAGTATTAAAGATTCAACTTCAAATACTAAGAGTTAATGATGTACTTTATCAAGGAAACTCTGGTTGCTACTGCTAGATCAGTAACTCCTAAACTATTTTTGTTCCAAGGAGCTAACAATGTATAGTAGCTAGGAAAACCATGCTAGAGGTTTATCTTGCCTACAAACTAAAACATTATACTAGTTTAGGACAATTATACTGCAATAAAAGAGATAGAAACATCGTTATTAATATTATCCAATCCCAGCATCAAAATGTCTACTGACTAAAGGTAAGAAGAGGATTGCAATTTCTATTTCCCATATTTAATGTGCCATAAAGTATTTTGGAATAGACTTGATAGTTGAAATTATTTAAAACAACGAAATACATGACTCACATCAGGGGTTCAAATGTAGGCCTCATGTTCCTTGGACTTTAATGTTTAAAGCTTCAATGAATATTCTTATCTACAACGGCTCGAGACTTCATATATCTACGGCAATATCATTCAACCAAGTCTAGTTTGTGTAAGATGCACATTTGAGAGTTTATAAAAGAATATTGTGCGATAATAAATTGGCAAGCAATTTTGCTCTTAGTATATTATAAAGTTGCAAGTAGCAAGATCACTCTATTGTGCGAGGTTATCTTACCGTCAATTAGAAATGAATTTAATAGTTTACGAATTACGAGCAATTTTATTTGTGACTAATAAATCCTCAAATGACTTCTAAATACTAAGTGATACTAACATGTCACAAGTCACTTGCCAGTCCTAACATTTGTATCCATTTTCATAACTTCTATTTTCTTCGCAAGAATATTCATAAAAATGGTCAGTCTAACTAAATGATGGAAGAGCTTTCACAAAAAAACCTAACTAGACATGTACGATGATCTTGCACACAAATACTGGCAGAGGGAAGAAACTGAGGGTAGCCATGCCCCACACACCCCATTTTTGTTAAACTTATAAGTAATACATTGGACCAACAGAAATTGTGGGTTGTTATTAAAAAAAAGTTTTCAGCTCGAATAAGTATTGGGCTATTATTAAAATAAAAAAAGAGAAGGCAATGGTGTGGTTGTGTGCCTATTACTTGTGGCCTTGTGAGCTAGTTATGCTCAAACCCAAACCTTATAGCATGGGCTAGTTATATTCAAATCCAAACTCTTTTGCAAATAGCCAATCCAAACTCATTTCTGATTCCCAATTTCATATACCATTTACACACGTCCTTGACCTTTCTAGTTCTCTTCTCTATTTTCCTAATTAATGCTTCTTCTCAAAATCAAACCCCTCTAACTCCTAATCTTGATAACTGTTGCTAGCTTTTCAGTTGTCCCAGGTTAGCAAATCTCAATTCGGCAAATAGTAGTTCTCCGGTAAGCTGAAATCAAAACCATAATTATTTTTGTTGTTGACTTAAAATAGTTCTCTTATAGACTATAGTTCAAATATTAATTGTTTGGTACAAGTATTGTGACATTAATTGATACAAGAATTGTGATTTGTGACATTGATATGTTATCTAATTGGGAAATTTGCTTTTAGACACTGTTTTTCCCTATTTGATTTGTAGCATTTTGTTAATTCGTAGCATTTCGTTAATTTCTCAGGTCCTCAAAAAGATTAGTATTTATAGCTTTTGATTATGCAAAAATCAACTACAATAGATACTTTTTTAAGAGGAAACCTCTTTCGCCGCTCATATATGGGGAGCAAAATGTTACCTAAATCCGAAAACTCCTGGTATTGATCGCCCTCTAAAATTTTAAAGATCTCAACTTGAAGAAGTTAATCTTTCTTCCTTGAAGCGTGATCAAGGATTACGCTCACCAATATGGAACTATCATGTGAACCAACAAGATGACATTCATCGCTATTATCTAAGAGCCGGTCCATGTCAACACTGTTTTAAAAAACCTCCGCCTAGTCCGCTTAGGCGTACGCCTAGGCCTAGGCGGTACCTAGGCCACCTAACTAGCGTCTAGGCGGTATTTAGGCTATCCATCTAGATTTTACGAGCGTTTAGGGGAACATTGTCTGCTTATGTGGATTGCACCCTATAGGCCTTGGTTGTGATTTTATGTATTGTAGCCTACACGTCCTCCAAACTCCATTAACCTCTAAATATGAACACCACTACCTCCTCCGACCTTCAGCAAAACCTTATCGATCACCACTTAAATGAAGAAAGAAATCCACCTAGACACTAGTTAGGCATCTAAGCTTTCTATAACATTAACATTCACTATCAATTATTGTAATTAAAAATAAAAAAAGAAAACATCTTAGACTCTAGCCTTGTTAATTATTGTTTTGGCTATTTAGTATCTAAGTATGCATTGATTTATTGTGGAACTAAGATTGCTATCTTTTTTTAAAATTTGTATGAATTTAAAACATATTTTTATCAATTATTATAATTAAATAATTTAAAAATAGTCAAAGGCACTGCATAGGCGTATGCCTAGAGGTTTAGGTGCTAGGTGTTCGCTCAAACGCCTAGTCGACTAGTGCCTTCTGTAACATTGTCGAGCTCTCCCGATCTCTATAACTACTAACAAGATAAAGAGTACTTCTTAAATATCTATTTAAGTTAGTTAACAACAGTAACTTAAACTTAAGAAGTGTAAGTTAATAGTAAACTTAAGTTTAAATTTAAGTTTAAGTTAAACTTAAGTTTAAGCTAACAGTAAACTTAAGTTTAAGTTTAAGTTAATATTAAGTTTTTTGTTAATGGTAAACTTAAGTCTAAGTAAACAGTAAACTTAAGTTAGCAGTAAACTTAAGTTTAAGTTTATTGTTAACTTAAACTTAACAGTAACTTATAAGTTAACAGTAATTTGAGTTGAGAATGAGTTTTTCACTGTTGAGATGAACTTATAATTTGAGTTGAGAAGTATAAACATACAAAGAGCTATTGTAATTGGTAAACCAAGCAATTTAGTTAATAGTGTTGGTATTTTTAAGTATTTATGCATCTTTAATTGAGTATATATATATTTATCTTCAAGTATCACAATTAAAAAATAAAAAAGAAAAAAAACGCCTAAAAACCGCTTAGACGCCCGTTTAGACGACTAAGCGTTGGGCGTCAAGTCCGACGCCTAGAAATGCCCAGCGTTTAATGTAACATTGCATGTCAATATAAACTTATAACTTATCCTCTATCCAGTCTGGAGAAGCATCACTGTCATTTTTGTTATTCTTAGTTTGAAATGTTTCCACAATAGCTTGAGTATTCTCCATCTAGTAATGCGCTTTTTTGCTTATCTTATTATCTTTTTAGCAAGCCAACAAGACTCCTCGAACATAATACATAAGTTATTGGAGGCTTTAGAGCTTGGAAAAATATCAAAGATGAAGAACTTGTGTTTTTCTATGTTATAAAATAGTCATAAAAGCAAGCAATGATCTAATGAATGTTTCTCAACATATCTCGAAGTTAATCGAAAAGCACACTTTGAAACAATTAGCAATTAATCAGTGGCGGCATCAAGCATCAATTGACGTAGTCCATTTTATATTTCAAGCTTGTACTTTCTGCGAACTTGATGAAAATGTGAATTTTCCCAATCATGATAACTTTTTAGAACTTATAAAGTAAAATTTTAGACAATGCTTCCGGAAATGCCTTTTATACATCATCCTAATCGAAAAGAAAATTCTTCATGTTTTTTCTTGCAAAGTCAAAAGAGGTTAGAGAATAATTGTGTGATGCAAAATTTTGCATCATTATCGATGGATCTCATGACGAGTCAAAGAGAGAGCAAATGGCCATCGTTTTGAGATTTGTGCATAGAGATGGATTCATACATGAGTGTTTCTTTGGTATGTCCACATACAAGATGCTACATCTTTAACTTTGAAGAATGTCATTGTGTTGTTCTCTCTCACCATAGGGATGTTCAAAACATTAGAGGGCAAGGATACAATGAGGTTAGTAATATAAGAAGTGAATGAAATGGCTTGCAAGTTTTAATTCACAAACAATACCCGTGTGCCTATTATATTCATTGCGTAGTTCATCGCCTTCAACTTGCTCTTCTTGCGACATCTTGAGAAATATCTTATAGTTATCATTTTTCTTTAACTCGGTTATCATCATCAATCATGTTAGGCATTTAATAAATTTAATGATGAATTAAAGGAGACCCAAGCTAATGAATTTGCATCGATGATTGCAAAAATGAAATTGAGATCAGAAGAGGGCTGAATCAAGTTGGCACTTTAAAAAGTGCTGGAGAAAGCAGATGGGGTTCTCATCCAGATTCTATTTCTAGTTTGCTAAAGATGTTCAACGTGCCTTCTATGATTCTAGGTGATCTTGCTAAAGAATGAAATTTCTCTCAACATGCAAAGGCGAACTATGCTTTAAATCATCTATTCTCATTTGATTTTTGATTTCATCTTGCATCACAGGGAGGAGCTTATGAAAATCACTCATCTTCTTCGCCAAGTTCTGCAATGCTAATCTCAAGATATCTTGAATGCAAAGCATCTTGTTTCAAGTACAAGACTGTTGACTTGCATTCCGATTGGAATAAAATTCTTTAAGAAAGCCAAAGCATTTTGTGAGCAACATGATATTGATGGTACGGATATGGATTCTCGATGTGTTGCAAAGCATGGTCGAGCTTCACAGCAAGGAGATCATATTACTATTTGAGCATTATTATCGAGTGGATGTATTTATTCAAACAATTGATTACCAAATGCAAGAACTAAATAGCGAGTTCAATGAGCATACGGTGGAGTTGCTTGTTCTTAGCAACACTTTGGATCCTAAAGAGAGGTTTGTCATTCAACATTGATGGTATTTGTAAACTAGCAAAAAACCATTATATTTTGGGTTTCATAGAGCAAGAACTACTACGTTTGAGAATGGAACTTCAACATTACCATCATGATGTTTGCAATCATACTGATTTACAAAAGTTATCTACTACTCAAGAACTATGTCAAGGCTTATCGAGAACGAGAAAGTCAACTACTTATCAATTTATTGATAGATTGGTTATGCTTGTGCTTACTCCTCCTATATCAACAACAACTATTGAACGAGCATTCTCGATCATAAAGATAGTGAAGGCAAAGCTTCGGAACAAGAGGGAAAATGAATTCTTGAATGATTCCATGATCTTGTACATAGAAAAAGAAATTGCCAAGAAACTTGGCACAAATTCAATCATAGACGAGTATAGTTTAATGAAAGTACGTCGAGCACAACTTAATTTGTTGTTTAAAAGGATACTATGAATTTTGTAGTATGAGAATTGTGGTGCAATCTCTATTCTCTTTATGCTCATGTCATAATGTATTTTGCATCATTTTAGCATAAGTATTTTATAGATTTTGGTTAAATGTGAAACTAAATACGATATAATGTATATTTTGTCTAAATATTTATAAAGTACACATGAATTGTATATTTTCTATGTAAAAAGAAACTTTAGAGTATAGGAGCATGTTGATTCAACGATCAGTAAATATGTTGGAATGATTCAAGCATTCATGAAGATATTTTTCATAGAACTTGTATTACACTTTCACCTACTTACATATATGAAACTTTTTTTATAATTTGTCATATTTGACTTTTTTCCTTTTTTTGGTTTATATACTATGATAATTTTACACGGGATCCCCCAACAAAAAATCCCAAGCTCGCCCGTGCACACAAAACATCAGTGAAAAACAATTCCAATCTAAATGTGACTGAGCTTGTATAGCACTTTAAATAACAGTACAACAAATCAACTACCATCTGCATCACAGAAGTCTTCTTTGAACCTACTAAAAACTGCCAGTATCCTATTTTTCTTCAGCATATAATTACAAATATATATGATACCATCATCTTAGCCCCATTATATCTGATTACCCAGACAAATTTCGATGCCTTTATACAGAACGCATTACATACAACAGAAGAATGACTACTGATGTGTAAACATTTGAAAGATACACTTTATCACTGCATTGGACGTTGCTTCTGAATTCACCTTGGAGTTCAAAACAATGATTACCTAGGGCAAGTAGTGCAACTAAAGCTCACTTTTCACAAATACCACTAATAACTCATGATGTCTCAACCAATTTGTGCAATTTTGTGTATTCCTCCAATCATAATGCCTAATTAAACACTACTGCGATCTTAAAAGCGTTCATCTAATGATCAAACCAAATTTAACTGTCGCTCGAATATTTCCATAACAAAAGATCAGAGTCTTTTTCCAACTCGTATTCCCACAAATCGATCTAACAAATTGAAAACTAACTACAACAGCAATCAAAACAACAAAGATAAAGAAAGGAAAGAGAGCGTACGGTCTCTAGTGATCTGGCGGAAATTCTTGTACTCTGTTCCGCCATAGGACGAGTCAGAATCCGACATCGACATGATTCGAGGAGAAGAAGAATTTGAAGAAGAATTAGGGTTTTTTTTTTTTTTCCTTTTTCACCTCGAGAGGGGATGAGGGAATCTGGAGTCTTTCTCCCACTCTCGGGACGTTGAGAGCAATGATCGATGGGAGAAAGAGAGAGAGAAATATATTATTGTATTGATTAATTTATTGTAAAGGGAGGTGGGGGCGGTGGTTGGAGGGGAGAAGGAGGGAGAAGCAAAGTAAACCGGTGGCTGGTCCGACTTGACCACGAAGGAACCGACGAATGTTAAAAGAGGATCCGTGTCAAGTGCGCGTTGGGAATATAGCGTGGGGTGACCGCTGTCAAAAGGCTTGCCAATTTTGGCTATTTACTCGGTTGTTTGTTAAATAGAAAATAAATAAATTTAAGAACAAAATAATTTAAGAAAGAGAGGCACTAGGGGCGCACACTCTACCACAATCTCAACCACACCACCTCTCTTGCTACAGTACACTGGGCCCACATGAGATTTTAATTTCTAAAATCTCATGTGGGCCCAGTGCACTGTAGCAAGAGAGGTGATGTGGTTGGGAGTGTGGTAGAGGGTGTGCCCCTATCATTATTTTTTAAGAAAATAGTATGAAAAATTTTTGTCAGCGAACCTCACCATATTATTTCCATTGTGTTTAGCCCCAAGTACAATGAGCTTTTATGATTAGCCCTCATTTATTCTGTCTACAAAAAAACCTAAAAATATTCTAAAAATACCCCTCTTCCTCTCCTTTTTCTACTCCTCTCTCTCTCTTGGTGACCGCACCGAGATCCCCCCCACCCACACTCAACACCTCTCCCTAATTCACCCTATCGTACCTCGCATCTCGCTGCCATTATTGATGTTGCTGCTCCCTCCCTCTCTCCTACTCTCTCTCCTCCTCTCGAATCTCTTCTCTCTCTCCTATGTCCCAACCTTACTCTTAACCTTAACATTCATGGTGGCTCCTCCCTCCTCTCTCCTAACCTAATTCCTAACTAGTGTGCACCTCGTGCAAAGTACGACCTTTATTTTTTTTTCAATATAGTAATTATGTATTTAAATATAGTTTTTGTAAGTGCTACAGTAACATTTTTAAATGTTACAGTATCCCGTCTAAGCTACAATAATAATGCTATAGTAATATTTTTGAGCGCTCCGCTCCCGCCTGTGCTGTAATAATAATTCTACAGTAATTTTTCATGTCTGTGCTACAGTAACAAATGCTGCAGTTATTTAATGTGGCATGAATAGTGAATCTTGGGTCCTCTCATTATTATATAGGAATAGATATTCCTCATCTTTCCCTTTTCCTCCTCTTCCCCTTGGCCCGCCTTCTCCCTGTGAGTGGGGCCCAGTCACCACGTGAATGAAGGGAGCCCAGTTTCCGCGTGAATGATTCCGCGTGAACAGTTGTGTTCACGAGTGCACTTCAAAGCGTGTGGGGGCCACATCTCAATGGTATATATATCAAATTGTTTTGTTTTTAGGGTTGTGCAGGAGGCGGTGAAAAGGGCAAGTGCAAGGTGATTACTTTTGCGGCTGCGTGAGCGTGTGTGCGAGTGCAGAGGGGTTCGTGCGGCGGCTTTGGAGCAGTGCGAAGGAAGCTGTGAATTTTTCGGCTAGGTGCAGGAAAATTTTGTTGGCGGCTACAGAGAAAAACACTGCGGGATAAAAAGAGTCGCCTGTCCCTTTGTAGAGAGAGATTAAGAGGGATTTGAGAGTTTGTTTGAGATGGTTTAGATTGTGAGATTGTAAACCCTAATTGTATCTCTCCCTCTAATAGTAGATCTCCCCCCTCCTTACCCCGTGGACGTAGGCAGTTTGCCGAACCACGTAAAATTGGTTTGTTTGAGTTTGTGGCCATTGTAATAGTTTTTAGGATCCCTCGACGCACAGTCCTAGAGCTGACGAGAGGAAGAGCTAATATCCCACTTTGATGGGATATTAGGCTTCAGATTCTTATTCCCTTTGAGAAACAAGAATTCTTATCGATCTTTCTCTCTTGTTGTGCACCAGAAACTCTGCCGAAATTTCCGCTGCGCACAACAAGTGGTATCAGAGCCCAGATTCCAGATCTAGGGTTTGGTTGGAGGAGTAGATCAATTTGGAGGCTCGTTTAGGGCTTCGTTGGTGATAAAGGTGGGATCTTTTGGTAAAGCCTCTATCTTTTTAGTTTTGGATCTATCCTTTGTTCGTTGGTGCGTAAGATGTCGGGGAAAGAAGGTGCTTCGGGTGTCGAGAGTGGTGCTTCTGGCGTGAAGACTATTCAGAGTTTGAATATCCACTCTATGAAGATAGATGTGGAGAAATTTAATGGCACAAACAACTTTGGATTATGGAGATGCGAGGTTTTGGATGCGCTGAACGCGCAGAATTTGGAGGATACCTTGGAGTTAGATGGCAAGCCAGATGACGTTGAAGAGAAGGTTTGGAAAAATATGAATCGAACGGCGTGTGGTGTGATTAGGTCTTGTTTGACTCAAGATCTAAAATATGATGTGATGAATGAGACTTCTGCGAAGAAGATTTGGGAGATTCTCGAAAGCAAGTATCTGACAAAGAGTGTTGAGAATCGCTTGCATTTGAAGATGAGACTTTATCGTTTCCAGTTGAAGAAGGGAACCTCCATTAGAGATCACATGAACCACTACACGAAGCTTCTTGCGGATTTGACGAATGTGGATATCATAATTGAGGATGAGGACAAGGCGTTACTGTTGTTAAGTTCCTTACCTGACGAGGAATATGAAACCTTCATCCTTACTCTGATTAATGGGAAGGCATCTCTTTCGTATAGTGAGGTCACTACTGCATTGGTGAATTATCAGCTTCGGAAGAAGGATAAGGAGACTTCGACTGAGTCGGTAGCAGAGGCGTTGGTCGCAAGAGGGAAGGGTCCAAACCGAAAGAATTGGAAGTTACAGTCTAGAGTAGGAAAAGATCAGTGTGCTTGGTGCAAGGAGACTGGTCATTGGAAGAAAGACTGCCCAAAGCTCGACGAATGGATGAAGAATAAGCAGAAAGGGAAAGGGAAGCAACCATCATCAGAAGCAAACATCGTATTGGATGGTAATAATTCTGACTCTTCTATTTATTCGCTTTCTATCAGTCCTACAGATAGCTATTCGGAGGAATCTGAATGGATGTTAGATAGTGGTGCGACATATCATGTGTGCCCTAGAAGGGAATGGTTCTTCAGTTTTGAGAAGCTGGTGGATAGTGGTGTGGTGTACATGGCTGATAACCGTGCATGCCAGATCCTTGGGATAGGAAGAATTCGCATAAAAATATTTGACGGGGCTGTTAGGGAGTTAAATGATGTGAGATATGTTCCTTCTTTGAGGAAGAACTTGATCTCAATTGGAGCTTTGGTTGGAGAGTGTCTAAAGGTTCGTGTTGAGGACATGGTTCTCGGGATTGCGAGAGACTCTCATATTTTGATGAAGGGCGTCAGGAGAAATAACCTGTATTACTTGACTGGAGGTATAGTGGCAGGTGGAGAGCTGACGACTTCTGTTGATTCGACTAGACTGCGGTATTTGGGGCTTGACCATTCCAGTATTGATTCCTCGCATAAATTGAAAGACTAGACTGCGGTATTTGGGGCTTGACCATTCCAGTATTGATTCCTCGCATAGATTGAAAGAGGGGACAAAGACCTACAGTTTGAAGTCCAGTGAACATGTTGATGTGGGCAAGAAGACCGAGGTGAAGTGTGGCACCTCTATTCACCGTGCTAAGGGTCGTTCTGGAGGAGTTCACGTGGATGTTTGGGGGCCTTCCAAGGGGGCATCATCGGGAGGTAATAGGCGTTTGGTTTCCTTTGTTGGTGGCTGTTCTAGGCGGTTTGGGTTGCAACCAAATCCCCGATGGATAAAGTCCTAGTAGTCTCTAACAATTTGAAGAAGTGTGTGATAGACAGAAAGGTGAAGGTACTCCATTCTGGTGGGAGGTACAAGATGGACCTGTTTCTGTATTGGAGCCGAGCTCACAGCATTTCGAGACACTTCGTTGGAAAGGAAATCTTGGGGCAACTAGCTAGGGGAAAGTCCTAGTAGTATCCAACAGATTGAAGAAGTGTGTGATAGACAGAAAGGTGAAGGTACTCTATTCTGGTGGGAGGTACAAGATGACCTATTTCTGTATTGGAGCCGAGCTCACGGTATTTCGAGACACTTCGTTAGAAAGGAAATCTTGGGACAACTAGAAGAAGTGTGAATAGACAGAAAGGTGAAGGTAACTCTATTCTGGTGGGAGGTACAAGATGACCTATTTCTGTATTGGAGCCGAGCTCACGGTATTTCGAGACACTTCGTTAGAAAGGAAATCTTGGGACAACTAGATAGAGTGACAAATTTGGAGAACCGTACCTTTCTGGAGGAGGATCGGTGTTTGTTGTCGAGCAATGGTTTGCAGAAGAGTTTCTGGACAGAGGCTTCGACATATTTGGGTCATCCTATTAAAGAGTTGTCAACTGCTGTGATTGGAGGTAAAACTCCATTAGAAGATAGGTCTGGTAGTGTCACTTCGGTTGAGGCTTCGATGAGGGAGCTATTTGACTCTCAGCAGGTGGAGAGTTTTGGACAGACCTTAGAGGTATCGCAGCGGGTGGAGATGGATGCTACTCCACATCGGGTTAAGATTACTCCAGATCATTCTGCATTGGTTGGGATTTCAGCTGAGGTGACACAGCGTGGAAGTCATTTGGATTCGGATGCAGATGATGAGTTGGGTTTTGACTCGAGTGCAGCTGATAGATGCAGTTTGGATATGACCATTGGTTCACCTCAGGTGGAGGTGTTTGAGGCCATTGGAGGTGCTATCAGCCGCAGAGTTGATGATATTGGAGAAGGGTTGCGAACTCTTCTAGTGGATTGAGGCCTTTGGAGACTATTTGGGTGAACTACGTTCGGCTTGATTCCTTAGGCAAGAGGATACATAGGCAGTCTTTACGATGCAGCCGGTTTGGGTTTTGATGGGGGTGAGATCGATTTGGTGAGTTGATACCGATATTTGGAGAGTGTTTGCACTCTCATTTGGGTTCTCGACTTGTTATGGATTGAGTCTGTTGTCGTGAATTGTTTCACTTCGTACTGGACACAACAAGTGAGACATTTGTTTTGGTTGGTGTCGGCTCAGTTTTGAGAAAACTTCGCCGATGTGGAGAATTGTGAACGAATGGGATGTGTGGTGGGCCAGACCCACGTGACCTCAAAACTCTCCGCGTGAAGAGAGTTCACGAGCCCACAAA